CTTCTGATGGCAATCCTTCATTCTTCCAGTATTGTGCAAAAATTATTCTCGCTGCTGTGGTGATGTGTAAGATTAAATATAATTTCTGCTTATTAGTCTTTTCAGGTATAATACCTAGTAAAAAAAGTTCAGGTTTAAAATCCACTTGTTCACCCAATATTTTTTCTAACCACATATGTATCTTTCTCCAATAAACCTTAGCCTTACCACATGTCCACCAAATGTGATAGTACGTGCCTATACTATGTTTACATTTCCAACATCTATCTGACATATTTTTAAACATTTTTGCTAATCTTGCTGGCGGCAGGTGCCATCTATAAAACATTTTATACAGATTTTCTTTATATGAAGTTGACATTGTTAATTTGTAGTTTCTCTCCCACAATATTTGCCATTTTTCTAATTCTATATTATAGCCAAAAAAATTTCGCCCATCTTGTCATCGTTTCTTTCACTTGTTCACTTTCCATATCCAAAATTAACAAAAAGTTTTACATTTTCTTAATTATGGCTGTTCCTCTTTTGTCCTGCTCCTCTAGGCCATCCCTGGAGCCTCCCACCACGTCTACGCTGACCAACCCAGGGCCTTCAACGCTGCAGTGGAACAAATCTGCAACGCCGTGGACTGACCGCCGAAGCTGGAGTGGAAAAAATAGTTTCTATCCTTGCCACCTTATCGCTCAGCTGCGGGGAAGACGAAGAAGGCACACGCCACTTTCCGTGCCCCCGGGGAGCCGAAACTGAAATCCCCGTGGATCTGACTACAGATGGATCTCCGGGGATCTCTACTGTCCAGCCTGCACCCATTCCCTCCCTCCCTCCCTCTTGATTTCCCCTAGAAACATCTTTCTACTTAAAGGTTGCAGACCTCCTGTTTTGGGTTAATCCAAGTCTAGCTATTCTATTTTTTTAACCCCTGAGAATGTTTTATTCTTGGTTTGATTTACACCACATCCTCATGCAACACTGGTTCCCCGTGTTGTCGGTTCGAACTACAATCCCTGCTCCAATTTTATTCCTCCTCCTCCTCCTCCTCCTCCTCCTCCTCCATCATCCTACTACCTGTTGGAGATCTCACTCCCTACCTTTGTGTATTTCAAAGGCATTGTCGGTTTCTGCCGGAAAGCTATTTTGAATCTCTGTGTTGACCCTGTTAGATGATGCTAGAGTTCTTCTCTTTGATACCTGGTGCCTTTGGGGATAAACTGCTAGTTGCAGAATTTATATATATATATATATATTTTTCAGAAAAGAGATGCTATTATTAATTCGATGCAGCAGAGACGTCTCTGTCAATGAAGCTTCCGGAAATGCACAAAACCCTTTAGGTGGTCTTCCGAAGCACCGTCCTAGGTGATTGCTGGAAACGGAGGACGATGTTCTGTAATTTTGAGGAGATGTCCTAAAATTAGATATATTTCAGAGAGACGGTGAGAAAGAGATTGAGATGTCAACTCCTAACCTCTTTGTCATGCACGGTGTGGCCATATCTATTTCCCACATTACAACTCCTAATCTGAAAAAGAAATCTAAGTCCTAACTTACATCTAAGAAGGGGCCAAGGACCGTGTGTAAATTCTCTTTGGAATGTGCAAACTGTGCAGAATGTAAATGGCTTTGACCTTGGAGTGTTTAGTTTGAGCCTCCAAACACTCATTTTGTTCTTGAAAGGGTTCTCAACCCTTCAGGGCTGTTGTTTTGCACTTGGTGAAGAACATCATTTGAGCTCAACTCATTCCCAAAATATTTGGGAGAACCTGAGTCCCATCTGATTCCCTAAGCCTACGAAAAGTTTTTCTTCTCCATAAAATACATAATTCTGTTCCCCTTAGAAGTGTGAGCTTGATGGGAAAACTTTTTCAGAATGGTGAGTGTGATACTACTGGAAAAGTGATGTTGCAGAACTAATATGACTAATAGTGTGGAGCAGAAACCTATTAAATCCAGAATGGATGGTAAAGTTTGAAAGAAGGGGATGGATTTAAAGGGAATTCCTCACTTTTAGGACCTCAAGATCATCAGCCGTGGCTTCAAGATGATCTGTCCTTCTAAAACCAGGGGAGAATCTGGATCAGAAAGCGATTTAAGGGTCCTGCTTCAAATAGAAGATATTTGAGAGGACTACCAGGGAATTTTAAAGATAAAAACATGACAGTTGGCTAATGAGAAGTTCGACTTGAAGGCTTTACCTGAAACTGTTGTTCTAGTTATAAAAGGGGGTTCTTGCTGGACTTGAATTCCACCACCAAACCATGAGCCTTTTGGCCCTTATCATCTATGTGTGAAAAGATGGCTCTTGCCGTTCAGCAGAAGTAAAAGTGAGTTCTCTTTTTTGGGAGGACAGATGGAGGAGAAAGAAACTGGTCAGAACTGATCTGCGGTGGTCTTTGAAAGCTTCCTAGAAAACAATTTAAGAGCAGACTCCATACCTCTGGTGAAATCCACCCGACCTCCCAAACCAGCTGCTCTTTCCTAACTGGGCTGGATGTCCCTGGTGGCTGGGGAATATGGGCGTTGGACTCTTAACACCAACATGGAGGCTTGGCCAAATTGAAAAAAGGTCACACTTTGGTTGGGGTGGGGGTGGGAAAGAAAGCCTTTTTCAACTTGATTTACTTCTCTTTTGTGTTCCTGTTAAAGTTGCCTGTTGGGATTCATGAATCTCTGCTCCCCTGCTGTATGAAGGTTTAATGGAGATAGGGGGAAAAAAAAGTTTGGTATCCAGGCAGTTCTTTGGAGCTGAGGTTATTTGGAAAAAGAAGCCACTTGATTGGAACACTATTAACACAATTTCTAATACTGGGCGTAGGACACAGTCTGAATCGCACCTAACTGACTTCCCAGCAGTGCCATCTATGGAATTACCCGTTGTTTGTACTAATTTTGTATGTTTATTAAAATAAAATTATTGCTTAAAAAAAAACAGTTGGGGAATAGTCTGTGTCTTTGTAAAACTTGGTGTGCTTTCTTTCCTGCTTTGGATATGATGTCCCATTCTTCTTATTTAATACTAGCTGTACCCGGCCACGCGTTGCTGTGGCTCAGTCTGGTTAGCGTGTGTTGCTTTCACATCCAAAAGATGGCGCTGTTTTTCAAAAAAAGCATGTTTTACCTGTCACAGGTGTGACATCTATATAATAGTAGGTATATAAAAACACGCACGTATTCGAATGCAACGTTGTGTCAAAATTTCAAAGCAATCGGTGAAGAACTTTTGGAGATTTAAGATTTTGAACAAACGAACATTTACATTTTTCTTTATATAGATTTCTCAACCTTAGCAGCTTTAAGTTGTACAAAATAATAGAGTTGGAAGGGGACCTTGGAGGTCTTCTAGTCCAACCCCTTGCTCAAGCAGGAGACCCTATACCATTTTGGACAAGTGGCTGTTCAGTCTCTTCTTAAAAATCTCCAGTGTATTGGGGCACCCATAACTTCTGGAAGCACGTTGTTGCACTGATTAAGGGTTATAACTCTCAGGAAACTTCTCAGTTACACATAGGAGATATATTTTTTTTCTCCATCCTGTGATACTTTTTCACAAAATGCACTTAGCAGATGATTAATTCCAAGGCAACAATATCTCTCTTTACAATCAGTTAAATAAACTCACAACGTCTGAAGGCAAGCCGTTCCACTGGATAATTGTTCTCACTGTTAGGAAATTTCTCCTTAGTTCTAGATTGCTTCTCTCCTTGATTAGTTTCCCTCTGTTGTTTCTGGTGCTTTGGGAAATAGGGTGACCCCCTCTTTTTTTTGGTGGTCCCTCAAATATTGGAAGATTGCTATCGTGTCCTAGTCCTTTTCACTAGACTAGCCATACCCAATTCCTGCGACCGTTCTTCATATGTTCTAGCTTCTAGGCCCCTAATCATCTTTGTTGCTCTTCTCAACATACATGGCTGGCTGGGGAATTCTGGGAGATGAAATCCACAAATCTCCAAGTTGTCAAGGTTGGGAAACATTGCTCAAGAGGATCCAGATACAATATAAAGTAGCCACTCTGAAGGTTTTATAACCTTGCTGCTAGTGTTTTGGCAGTTCTACATATTTTTTTTGTAAAGTTTTTATTGATTTTTTTTCATACACGTCAATAGTATTCATTCAACAAACGTGTTGTCTGAGTTTATCATTCACTAATACAAATTTAATTCCTAATCCTTTATTCTTTTCTCCAGCCATTGATAAAATAAGTCCCAAGTTTGAAAATATTCTGTTTCTTCTTTTTCTTTCAACCTCGTAGTAGTAACTCTGTCCATTTCAGCACATTCTAGTATTTTTTTTTAATTATTTCTTCCCGTTTCTACACATTTTTAATTCACGACTGCCACCCACTGTCCAGCTTCTGACATGACAATCTTTAGTTTGAGATGACGCACAGCAAAGCTGTTGGATCAGTTGAGATTCCCCCTCAGCTTCAGAAATTCAGTAGGTGACTTCAGCCCCAAATTTTTTAGTCCTACCAATTCACAGGGATGTTGTGTAAGAAAATGAGGAGGAATGAACGCCTTGAACGTTTGGTAAAAAGCTGGAATAAAACTCTAAAACAAGGGCTGATGTGGGTGGTCCATTTTGGAAAATAATGGGCTGGGCTTTAAATCGACTTTAACTGACCTGGTTGTTTGGTTTTTGTTGCCCTGAAACATTTATTTGCCACAGTGTGTTTTAGCAAAATTCATATGGCTGGTTTGAACACTTGAGTGCGAGAATAACAACAACAACAACAACAACAACAACAACAACAACAACAACAACAACAACAACAATAATAATAATAATAATAATAATAATAATAATAATAATAATAATAATAATAATAATAATAATAATAATAATAAGTTGGAAGGGACCTTGGAGGTCATTTAGTCCAACCCCCTGCTCAGGCAGGTAACCCTATACCATTTCAGACAAATGGCTGTCAAGTCTCTTCTTAAAAACTTCCAGTGTTGGAGCATTCACAGCTTCTGGAGGCAGATTGTTCCACAGATTAATTGTTCTAACTGTCAGGAAGTTTCTCCTTAGTTCTAGGTTGCTTCTCTCCTTGATTAGTTTCCACCCGTTGCTTCTTGTCCTGCCTTCAGGTGCTTTGGAGAATAGCTTGACTCCCTCTTCTTTGGGGCAGCCCCTGAGATATTGGAACACTGCTATCATGTCCCCACTCGTCCTTCTCTTCGTTAAACTAGACAGACCCAATTCCAGCAGCCTTTCCTCATATGCTTTAGCCTCCAGTCCCCTAATCATCATGAGAAAGGTTGACAGTTTTCATGCCTAAAGTGGGATAAGAATGCCCAGTCTCCTGGTTTTTTCCCAGTGCCTTAACCGCTAGACCAAACTGGATCTTTAGTATTAAATATTAATTTAACATTAATGCATATTTGCTTAGTTTAGAAAACTTTTTTTTTTCTTGGGGAGAGATAGGCCTTAGTGTGAACTGAATGAATGAGTTTCGACTTGTGGTTTACATCCCAATTAGAAGTCATCTAATTGGAACACAACATAAATAACTTTCAGTTTTAAATCAGTGCATTCCCTCTTGTGCAGCCTGTGTAGACTTCAATTCCCAGAATTCTCAGCAATCTCTGTGCTGCCCGGGGAACTCTGGGAGCTGAAGTCCTTTAGAATTTACCAAGATTGAGAAATGTTGACAGTAAATAATAAATATAATAGACATATGTCTTCAGACACATAAATGTCTTTTATGGGGAAATAAGTGGGGGTGGGGGGTTTCCTTCTTTTTTTTCATGAGGAGACCTAGGCTCTTTTTAAAGACTCAATTGCTGGGACCGACTATACCAAACAT